CAACAAGTTATATTTTGAGAAGATTTCTGTCACTGTTTATGTCAAGAAAATTATGGTAATGTTTATTCTGATACTTTGTTACTGCATTCTGATTATTTTTTACTTAGTTTCTGAAAGCTGGAAGGAATCAAAGTGTGCAGTGGCGAAAAAGATGTGGAGCACCTGCAGTGATTGTCAGGAACTTACTTGAATTTTGTTTGCTTAAAACTGCAAATTTGGTTAAGGCGTTGCGACACAAAAGGCATTTTGATACGGGTTTCAGAGAAAACCATTCTGTGCTTTTTTTGGTGCTTACTACTATTCGTTGCTTCAGTTTTGATGATTTTATCAGTATGCTGTAAAGTGAAAGTGGAGCCCAGGTTGTTCGCAAATGGTCAGTGAAAGCAAAAGTTTATCTATAAGTAAACGTTATTCTTTTAGCCATCCTGGACACAGCTAACTTTTCGAGCTTCGGAGTCAGATATTTGTTTTTTAACCAAAAAATTTTTTTACTAGTTTAAGATGCTGTAGAATGATTTGATTTTTAATCGATAGTCCTCAATCAGTGGTTCTCAATACGTTTCTCAGTTTGATTAGATCTCTCCTTCAGCTTCGGCGTGATTGTATATATATGTTTGTTTATTCATTCATTTACTAATTTATTTATTTTTCTCTGCTCTCTAATCGCGTGCGTAAGAGTAAATTCCGTGAAGTCCGTTTTAATTGCCTTTTTAAGCTTGTTTTTTTATAGTTTTAGTTTTATATTAAATCTGCTTACCATTTTTCCTAGTCATTTTTCGTTGCTGGTAATCAATATTACCCCGCATGAGCAGAGAATTCATGGAATATGCAGCAGTCGTGTTATTTACGCAAATAGTTACAGGCGTTGCAATAAGTTGCTGATTGCTTGACGGAGTTGTAACGTTGCAGCAAAAAAGTTTGCATGATATCGACTCTTTCCTTCTCTCACAGAAAAAAAAAAGCTTTGATTTAATGAATTCTTTTTTATTTATTCACGTCGACAAATGTTTTTTTGCTGCTTTTTTTTTTTTTTTTTTTTTTTTTTTTTT